AGTCAAAGCTATGGTTTTTCCAGTAGTCATGTATGGGTGTCAGAGTTGGATTATAAAGAAAAGCTGAGCACCAAAGGATTGGAGTTTTTGAACTGTGGTGTTGGAGAAGACTCTTGAGAGGCCCTTGGACTGCAACGAGATCCAACCAGTCCATCCTAAAGGAAAGCAGTCGTGGTGTTCATTGGAAGGACTGATGCTGAAGTTGAAATTCTAATACATTGGCCACCTGATGTGAAGAGTTGACTCATTGGAAAAGACCCTGATGCTGGGATGGATTGGGGGCAGGAGGAGAAGGGGACGACAGAGGATGAGATGGCTGGATGGTATCACCGACTTGATGGACATGAGTTTGAGTAAACTCCGGGAGTTTGTGATGGACAGGGAGGCCTGGTGTGCTGTGATTCATGGGGTCACAAAGAGTCGGGCATGACTGAGCAACTGAACTGAACTGAAGTCATAGTTACATACTCACTTCAGGTGACCGGACACATATAAGTGACCCTGCCGTGTTAGAATTTGAGAGACTGCTTATGAATTTAGAAATAACTAGTGTACTTTTTACGTCTTATAAGATATCATTTAGAAAAATATACTGAGGGGAAAATAATTCCAGCAGGAGTAGTTAGAATATTACCAAGTGGTGGGGAGATGGTGGAGGCCTGAATTAGGATGGTGGAAAAGAATAGGAAAACTTACTTAAAAGCTGCTATGTGTATTCTAATTTTTCTACATATAGGAGACTAGAATTTGTCCCAGATTTAGATTTCTTACTAATACTTTGAAAGGAAGAGCATACTTTAGAAAGAAATTGTACTTAGTTATATCTGACAAAGGTTTACAGAGTAGAGATTTAGTCATTCACAGTTATAAAGTTGTTGTTGCTTAGTCTTTTAGTCATGCCCAACTCTTTTGCAACCCCATGGACTGTAGTCTGCCAGGCTTCTCTGTCGCTGGGATTTCCCAGACAATAATATTGAAGTGGGTTGTCATTTCCTTCTGCAGGGGATTTTCCTGACCCAGGGATTGAACCCACTTCTCCTGCATTGGCAGGCAGATTCTGTAACACTGAGCCACCAAGGAAGCCCAGTTATACAGTTAGTAGCATATATAAGCAATTTTTCAAAAATAGAAGGTATCTCACCAATTATATAGATTGGGCATGCATCGATTATGCTCCCTTGGATTCTTCAGAGCCCCACTCAATAATCATCTTTTGTACTGTAGTCCATTTGACTCTTGGTGTACACTACTAGGTAGAGGCTACATTAATGAGAAAGTCATCAGGTCAAGCACAGTACCTATTATAGTATACTACTTTGGCATTAGTAACTTGAATCAAGCAATGGAAATAATGAAGAATAACAGAAGCTATATTTGTTGTTAGGTTTGTTGTATATTGAGGAGTGCATGGTGTATATTGGGGCTTTCTTGGTGGCTCAGACAGTAAAGAATCTACCTGCAGTGTGGGAGACTGGCATTTGATCCCTGGGTCAGGAAGATCCCCTGGAGAAGGGAATGGCTTCCCACTCTAGTATTCTTGCCTGGAGAATCCCATGAACAGAGTAGCCTGGTGGGCTACAGTCCTTGAGGTCTCAAAGAGTTGGACATGTTTGAGTGACTAACGCTTTTCACTTTTTTGGTTGTATATTTTATTTTGAATTACTGCCAGTAAATTTTTTTGTTCATGCCTGTGTGAATGTTACCCAAATACAGTAATCTTTTCATTCTTAATATTTTTAGTTTTAAACAATTTAGAAGCATTCATGTAAAAATCTTTGTAATGTATATTGTGTATTTGCTAAATCGGCTTCAGTTATGTCTGATTCTGTGCAACCCTATGGACTATAGCCTGCTAGGCTTCTCTGTTCATTGGATTCTGCAGGCAAGAACACTGGAAGGGGTTTGCATCTCCTCCTCCAGGTGATCTTCTGAACCCAGGGATTGAACCCAGGTATCTTATGTCTCCTGCATTGGTAGGTGAGTTCTTTACCACTAGTTCCACCATTGGTCAAACTTTTTTTCCTTCAGAATTAAGTTTTCTTTATCTTATTTTATAGCACAGGACATTTAATAGATTTACTTGAAGCTATTAAGTTCAGCAGGACTTTCCAGGTGGTGCAGTGGTAAAGAATCCACCTGCCAATGCAGGAGGCACAGGAGACCTGGGTTCCTTCCTGGGGTTGGGAAGATCCTCTGAAGCAGGAAATGGCAACCCATTCTTAGCTGGAATGTTCATGGACAGAGGAGCCTGGCAGGCTACAGTCCATGGGATCTGAAAGAATAGGGCATGACTGAGTAACTGAGCATGCCCACATTAAGTTCAGCTTATTAGATGTTGAGATTTTTAGACTAGCTTTTGGCACCTGGGGGGTTAGTATATAGTATAGTATATCTTGTAGAACAGTGCAATGAATCACAGTCTAAGGGACTTCTTTTCTTTCACTGGATAGGAATTTTATGCTGTCATATATAGGTATTCTTGCTTTAATAAAACTTGTTTTGTCAAGGCCCAGTTGCAGCCTTTGTATTAATCATAAATTGATTTCACAGCAAGATTCATCATATCAATTGCAGGCTCCCATAGGTCTTTGATGATGATAATTGGTTTGCAGAACTTGATTTACATAGGAATTCATATAGTACGAAATAGTTTTACCTCCATGTAGCTCCAATGAATGAACCTTAGAGCATAACTTGGATGTTCCTTTTTGTAATTTCTTCAGAAATTTTTCTTTTATTTCTCATTTGCACACTTTTTTCCCTTTTATTATTTGTAGGCATCATGATCGGAAGATGTGTATAATAGGACTGAGTATCCTTTTGGAATTGCAAAATCGACCTCCTGCAGTAGATGCTGTGGTGGGACAGATTGTGCCCTCAATTCTTTTCCTTTTCCTTGGACTAAAGCAGGTCTGTGCTACCAGACAACTGGTAAACCGGGAAGATCACTCAAAAGCAGATAAAGCCAATATAGAAGAAAATGGTAAAGTGTCCTAATTGCAGTGAATGCTAGAACTGATTTTTTTGAGTATGTGTTTTCTTTGCGTTTTAGTCTATTTAGAAACATTAAATAGATTTAATTTCTTGGCCTGCTACATGTTTAACAAATATTTTGAGTTTGATTGACTGAATTATAGTAGTCCCTTCTTACCCCAATTTTGGTTTTATGATTTCAGTTGTCTAAAAATGTTAAATGGAAAATTCCAGAAATAAACAGTTCATAACTTTATCTATTTCCCATTGAAGTATAGTTTATCTATAATATTATATTAATTTCAGATGTATAGCATATATAATGATTCACTGTTGTTATAGATTACACTGTTAAAAGTTATTGTATTAACATATTCCCTGTGCTGTTCAATATATCCTTGTAGCTTATTTTTTAAAAACTTAATAGTTTGTACCTCTTAATCTCCTACTCTTGGCCCTCCACTTCCCCCTTCCCAATGGTTACTACTAGTTATTTCTCTGTATCTGTGAGTCTGTTTTATATTCATTTGTTTGTTTCATTTTTTATATTCCACATTTAAATATAACATACAGAACTTGTCTCTCTCTGTCTGATTTACTTCAAATGGTTACTACTAGTTATTTCTCTGTATCTGTGAGTCTGTTTTATATTCATTTGTTTCTTTCATTTTTTATATTCCACATTTAAATGTAACATACAGAACTTGTCTCTCTCTGTCTGATTTACTTCAAATGGTTACTACTAGTTATTTCTCTGTATCTGTGAGTCTGTTTTATATTCATTTGTTTCTTTCATTTTTTATATTCCACATTTAAATGTAACATACAGAACTTGTCTCTCTCTGTCTGATTTACTTCATTAAGCATAATATCCTTTAGATCTATCCCATTTTGTTGCAAATGGCAAGATGTCATTCTTTGTTTATAGCTGAGTACTAATTCACTGTATATCTCACCACATCTTCATTATCCATTCATTTGTTGATGGACATTTGGGTTGCTTCCTTATATTGGCTATTGTAAATAATGCTGCTGTGAACATTGGAGGTGTGTATATCTTTTTGAGTTATTTTTTTATATATGTATATATACCTAGGAGTGAAATTACTGGATCATATTTTTAGTTTCTTGAGAAACTTTTCATATAGTTTTCCATAATGGTTGTACCAATTTACATTCCCACCAACAATATGCAAGGGTTCCCTTTTCTTTATATCCTTGCCAACATTTGTTATTTGTTGATAGCCATTTCTTACTGAGAGGGGTGAGATGATATCTCATTGTGACTTTGAATTGCATTTCTCTAATGATTAGCCATGTTGAATATCTTTTATGCTTATTCAGGTCTTCTGCTCATTTTTTAATTGGGTCAGTTGGCTTTTTACATTGAGTTGTATGAGCTATTTATATATTTTGAGTATTAACCCCTATTGTGTTGTATCATTTCTTGCACTTATTGGTTGTCTTTTCATTTTATCAATGATTTTCTTTGATGCCCCAAAACTTTTAAGTTTAATTAGCTTCCATTTGCTTTTGTTTTTGTGTCCTTTGCTTTTCTTTATACATTTGGAGGAGTTTTCATATTAAGCCATCCAGTCATGGACTTCTGTTTGCTGGGAGTTTTTTGATTATGAATTCAATTTACTAGTAGTGATCTCTTTATTCATATTGTCTATTTCTTCCTTATTCAATTTTGGAAGGTTGTGTATCTCTAGAAATGTTTCCATTCCTTCTCAGTTGTTCAGTTTGTTGGCTTATAACTATTTGTAGCATTCACTTATGATTTTTTTTGGTATCTCTGTGATATCAGTTGCAATTTCTTTTATTTCTTGTTTTATTTATTTGAGTCCTCTTTTTTATTTCCCCCGCTAAAGGCTTAATACATTTTGCTTATTTTTCAAAAAACAGTTCTTGATCTCTTCTATTTTTTTTTTAGTCTATTTTGTTTATTTCCCCTCTATACTTTATTATTTCTTTCTTCTGACTTGGGGCTTTTTTTTTTAAATCCTTTTAGATGGTTGGTTAGGCTGTTTATTTGATATTTTTCTTGTTTCTTGAGGTAAACCTAAATTTTGCAGTGTCTGTAAATTTTGGAAAGTTGTGTTTTTGTTTTCATTTGTCTCAAGGTATTTTCTGATTTCTTTTATGATTTTTTCATTCATCCATTGGTGTTTTAGTAGCATGTTGTTTAGTCTTCATGTGTTTATGTTTTCCATTTTTCTACCTGTGATTGATTTCTAGTTTCATAGTGTTGTGACCTGAAAAAATGCTTAATATAATTTCTATCCCTGTACATTTGGTGAGACTTGTTTTATGGCCTAGCATGTGTTCTGTCCTGGAGAACATTCCATGTGTACTTGGAAAAAATATGCATTCTGCCATTTTGGGATGTAATGTCCTGTAGATAACTGTTAAGTTCAGCTGGTCTAATGTTCACTTAGACACATTAGAAAAACTACCAAACTACATTTCCGTCTGTGTGTCTTTAACCCTGAAATTAATTTCTTCAAGCAATCAGAATTCTTTTTTTCCAGTATGTTGCATTCTTTCTAATTTCTTACTTTGTCTCCCATGGTTTATAATTATTATGACTTGAGGGAAGATTTTTTTTAGTAATATCCCAGACTTTCTCATTGAATTTCCTACTAAAGTGTTGATGATTAACCAACAAAGGTATCTCTTGCTGTCTTGTTATTATCCTTTATATATAGTTTTTTTTTTTTTCATATATGTGGTAAAAACTAGGGTTTCTTGCCTTATCCCTAAAATCATTTTGCAGCTTAATCCAAGTGCTTCATATAGTATGTTTTATAGAACTGGATTTAGATTAATAATGCCTGGTTCAAGTTTACTCCAGGTTTTTTCTCTTAGATTGATTTTGCCCTGCTTTTACTATCTTCCAGTTATTTACAAGGCAGATTGGCCCTGAAAATAGAAACTCAATCTATGGAGATACACAGTTCAGCTGTCAACTTTTTAACCCATGTGTAGCTAATTATTTTTCCTTAATATTTCTAAATTTTTCTGTTTCTGTTAGCAGAAATGACCTCTTCATTTGAGCATTTCCAAGCAATTGGTAATTTTATTAGGATCTTAGTTAATTGTTAAGAGACTCACATTCTCAATGGGAGGTCATTGTTGTTTACAACACATGCACTGAGTACAGAATCATTTTATGTCTTTTTTTTACAAAAAGGTTAATTTGGGAATCTGGCTAAATAGTATTTTTATATTAATGGATATGAAGCAGCCATAGTAAAACAGTAATAACAGTTCGTCTAGATCATAGATTTAGAGATAGTTAGAAATTGTTTTAAATGAGGAGGATAAAGTCATTTTCAATTTAGCAAGCTATAGTAAAGGTGAGGTTTATTTTTATAATTTTACATAAAATTAAATAGTAGTTTTTCCATTTCTAGAATGTCACTTTATAATTTTTGTTTTCATTTTGATTTATCTTTTGTCCTTATGTGATTTGATTCCTTTTGAATAAATAATGGATTCACAGAAGAGATTTCAAGTGATGAAGAGGAGACTAATGTCACTGCTCAAGCAATGCAGTCAAATAATGGAAGAGGTGAAGATGAGGAGGAAGATGATGATGACTGGGATGAAGAAGTGTTGGAAGAAACTGCTCTTGAGGGATTCAGTACTCCACTGGACCTTGACAATAGTGTGGATGAATATCAATTTTTTACACAAGCTTTGCTGAGTATGTTGTTACTCCCTGAATCATCAGATATGTTTTTCATTTCCATCTTTTAGAAGTTGTTTCAGAGTCTGTTTTATATTCATTTGTTTCTTTCATTTTTTATATTCCACATTTAAATGTAACATACAGAACTTGTCTCTCTCTGTCTGATTTACTTCATTAAGCATAATATCCTTTAGATCTATCCCATTTTGTTGCAAATGGCAAGATGTCATTCTTTGTTTATAGCTGAGTACTAATTCACTGTATATCTCACCACATCTTCATTATCCATTCATTTGTTGATGGACATTTGGGTTGCTTCCTTATATTGGCTATTGTAAATAATGCTGCTGTGAACATTGGAGGTGTGTATATCTTTTTGAGTTATTTTTTTATATATGTATATATACCTAGGAGTGAAATTACTGGATCATATTTTTAGTTTCTTGAGAAACTTTTCATATAGTTTTCCATAATGGTTGTACCAATTTACATTCCCACCAACAATATGCAAGGGTTCCCTTTTCTTTATATCCTTGCCAACATTTGTTATTTGTTGATAGCCATTTCTTACTGAGAGGGGTGAGATGATATCTCATTGTGACTTTGAATTGCATTTCTCTAATGATTAGCCATGTTGAATATCTTTTATGCTTATTCAGGTCTTCTGCTCATTTTTTAATTGGGTCAGTTGGCTTTTTGACATTGAGTTGTATGAGCTATTTATATATTTTGAGTATTAACCCCTATCGTGTTGTATCATTTCTTTCACTTATTGGTTGTCTTTTCATTTTATCAATGATTTTCTTTGATGCCCCAAAACTTTTAAGTTTAATTAGCTTCCATTTGCTTTTGTTTTTGTGTCCTTTGCTTTTCTTTATACATTTGGAGGAGTTTTCATATTAAGCCATCCAGTCATGGACTTCTGTTTGCTGGGAGTTTTTTGATTATGAATTCAATTTACTAGTAGTGATCTCTTTATTCATATTGTCTATTTCTTCCTTATTCAATTTTGGAAGGTTGTGTATCTCTAGAAATGTTTCCATTCCTTCTCAGTTGTTCAGTTTGTTGGCTTATAACTATTTGTAGCATTCACTTATGATTTTTTTTGGTATCTCTGTGATATCAGTTGCAATTTCTTTTATTTCTTGTTTTATTTATTTGAGTCCTCTTTTTTATTTCCCCCGCTAAAGGCTTAATACATTTTGCTTATTTTTCAAAAAACAGTTCTTGATCTCTTCTATTTTTTTTTTAGTCTATTTTGTTTATTTCCCCTCTATACTTTATTATTTCTTTCTTCTGACTTGGGGCTTTTTTTTTTAAATCCTTTTAGATGGTTGGTTAGGCTGTTTATTTGATATTTTTCTTGTTTCTTGAGGTAAACCTAAATTTTGCAGTGTCTGTAAATTTTGGAAAGTTGTGTTTTTGTTTTCATTTGTCTCAAGGTATTTTCTGATTTCTTTTATGATTTTTTCATTCATCCATTGGTGTTTTAGTAGCATGTTGTTTAGTCTTCATGTGTTTATGTTTTCCATTTTTCTACCTGTGATTGATTTCTAGTTTCATAGTGTTGTGACCTGAAAAAATGCTTAATATAATTTCTATCCCTGTACATTTGGTGAGACTTGTTTTATGGCCTAGCATGTGTTCTGTCCTGGAGAACGTTCCATGTGTACTTGGAAAAAATATGCATTCTGCCATTTTGGGATGTAATGTCCTGTAGATAACTGTTAAGTTCAGCTGGTCTAATGTTCACTTAGACACATTAGAAAAACTACCAAACTACATTTCCGTCTGTGTGTCTTTAACCCTGAAATTAATTTCTTCAAGCAATCAGAATTCTTTTTTTCCAGTATGTTGCATTCTTTTTAATTTCTTACTTTGTCTCCCGTGGCTTATAATTATTATGACTTGAGGGAAGATTTTTTTTAGTAATATCCCAGACTTTCTCATTGAATTTCCTACTAAAGTGTTGATGATTAACCAACAAGGGTATCTCTTGCTGTCTTGTTATTATCCTTTATATATAGTTTTTTTTTTTCATGAATGTGGTAAAAACTAGGGTTTCTTGCCTTATCCCTAAAATCATTTTGCAGCTTAATCCAAGTGCTTCAGTATAGTATGTTTTATAGAACTGGATTTAGATTAATAATGCCTGGTTCAAGTTTACTCCAGGTTTTTTCTCTTAGATTGATTTTGCCCTGCTTTTACTATCTTCCAGTTATTTACAAGGCAGATTGGCCCTGAAAATAGAAACTCAATCTATGGAGATACACAGTTCAGCTGTCAACTTTTTAACCCATGTGTAGCTAATTATTTTTCCTTAATATTTCTAAATTTTTCTGTTTCTGTTAGCAGAAATGACCTCTTCATTTGAGCATTTCCAAGCAATTGGTAATTTTATTAGGATCTTAGTTAATTGTTAAGAGACTCACATTCTCAATGGGAGGTCATTGTTGTTTACAACACATGCACTGAGTACAGAATCATTTTATGTCTTTTTTTTACAAAAAGGTTAATTTGGGAATCTGGCTAAATAGTATTTTTATATTAATGGATATGAAGCAGCCATAGTAAAACAGTAATAACAGTTCATCTAGATCATAGATTTAGAGATAGTTAGAAATCGTTTTAAATGAGGAGGATAAAGTCATTTTCAATTTAGCAAGCTATAGTAAAGGTAAGGTTTATTTTTATAATTTTACATAAAATTAAATGGTAGTTTTTCCATTTCTAGAATGTCACTTTATAATTTTTGTTTTCATTTTGATTTATCTTTTGTCCTTATGTGATTTGATTCCTTTTGAATAAATAATGGATTCACAGAAGAGATTTCAAGTGATGAAGAGGAGACTAATGTCACTGCTCAAGCAATGCAGTCAAATAATGGAAGAGGTGAAGATGAGGAGGAAGATGATGATGACTGGGATGAAGAAGTGTTGGAAGAAACTGCTCTTGAGGGATTCAGTACTCCACTGGACCTTGACAATAGTGTGGATGAATATCAATTTTTTACACAAGCTTTGCTGAGTATGTTGTTACTCCCTGAATCATCAGATATGTTTTTCATTTCCATCTTTTAGAAGTTGTTTCAGGGTCTACCCCAAATTGGTTTAGGATTCCCTGTAAAATTTGTGTTTAGAAATCCCCAAACATACATAAAATGAGAGCAGATAGCATAATGTCTGGGTAAGATTGCAGGATATCCTCATAAAAGTAATTTAAGTCAAGAGTATCTGTATATATTGTTCAATCTCTAGGTATAAACAAAGATTTTTACAGAATAAAGTATCTCATATATTTTGCTTGAAAATTGTGCCCATAAACTTACCAGCAATTCACAATCCCCATGTGAAGGAAGGGAGTCCATAAGATAGTAAATTTTTAACTATATAAGGAATATACCAATTTTGTACAGCAAAGGACACTAGAAATACAGTTAAAGTACTCATAAAAGATTGGAAGAAAATACTGTCATGTAAGATCCACAGGTTATAGAAACCTTCTATAAATGAATAAGACCAATAACCTAGTATAAGAATGAGATATATAAATAGAAAACTTATAGAATTAAAAATAAGAAACCAATGAGAGTATTTAGAAAATTATTATAAGCAAGTTATAATGAAAAGAAATCCCACTATATGGGTTGCTTGATAGTTACATTGTATTTCTATGGCAGTATCATAATTTAGCTTATTTCCACCATTGTTGGACATACAGGGTATTTCCAGTTTTTTGTTTCTTTGCTGTTATAAAGAATATTAAATTGAACATCCTTGTTCAATTTGAACACCAACCCTAAAATATTGTTAATACCAGCAAGGTAGTGTTAGCCTAATACACTGGCATTATGTAGTATGCCAATATATTGTTTATTACAAATACCATTAATGAATCACCTCTGTGTTTTATTGAAATTTAGCAGGAACAAGAGGTAGAGAGTCCAAGGAATGATATTCCAAAACATGAGGAAGATAAAGAGCATAAATGTGGAAATTGGAATGCAGAGGGTGTGCTCTAAGGCAGTTGCTACTGGACCTGGGTGTCCACCATAAGCAACAAAGAAGCTCTTTGATCTTGAGTGGGATCTCGGGATATGTATTTTGAAAATGCTCCTCAAGAGACAGGCAATCAGCTTTGGCTCAGTCAGCATATAGGGACCACTGCTTAAGTCTCTGTGAAGTGGTAAAATTGTACCAAATTGTACCAGCCTTGGATTCTGGACTGAGGTTGCCTTTATCCCATTGCCCATTAGAGTGTTGTTGAATGTTTTTGTAGAAAGAGGTGATCTTGGGGATGTGGTAGTTTCTTTCAGGGGTATTATCTATTGATAATGTCCAAAAAGAACTGAAGTGGGCTAGACTTGGAACCAAGTGTTAGGAAATTGCTTTATTAAGTAAGTAGGGCCCTCTAGAGAAAGGATGGCATTTGATGAAAAAAAGCATATAGGTGAAAACCATCAAGAAAGCAGCACAGAATTGGATGTGGAGAGGGCATGATAGTGGTTGACTAGGAGACTGATAGAACTAGTGATGGAAATGGGGAGATCCAAGGAGAGTTTGAGAGGTAAAATATTAAAATTGGTTATAGTTGTGCTGAGTTGCAGGTGACCTATCCAATGTAAAAGTCCAGGAAGTTTAGGGAACAATTTTGCCTAAAGGTACAAATTCGAGTTTTTGGTGTAGATGGGTAGCATGTGGCATGTGCTGGAAGCATGAGAATTCCTGAGGAAAATGATAACAAGTGAGTAAAATGTTTCCCATGATCTGGATTTTAGGGAGCTATCATGGTTAGTGAAACCCCAAGAAGAGGAGGACATGGCAAAGGAGGCAGAGAACTAGGCAAAGGAGAGATTTGTGATGTTCCAACCCTTTCACAAGGGGCTTCCCTTGTGACTCAGCTGGTAAAGAATCCACCTGCAATGCGAAGACCTGGGTTTGATCCCTGGGTTGGGAAGATCCCCTGGAGAAGGGAAAGGCTACCCACTCCAGTATTCTGGCCTGGAGAATCCCATGGACTCTATATAGTCCATGGGGTCGCAAAGAGTTGGGCATGACTGGGCGACTTTCACTTTGCTTCAACCTTCCTTTGTAGCTCCACATAGGTTGAGTACTAAATTGAGTACTCAGGAGTCATCCTTTGTTGGAATAAGTTTTATCACTTATTGTCTGTTATGATTTCATTGTAATTTGGTTATATCATTAGTTATTATCTGAAATAATAACTGTCACTGGACTCCCTTATCATTCCTTCTCCCCTGAAACACCCCCACCTTACAACAGCTGTGCAGAATCGGGATGCTGCGTGGTATCAGCTGCTGATGGCGCCGCTCAGTGAGGATCAGAGGAGGGCCCTGCAGGAGGTGTACACACTGGCCGAGCACCGGAGGACAGTGGCAGGTTAGCCAGCACGATTTCCTGATTGGAGCGCATGTGTCGGGAGTCAGCCTTTATTTTTACCAGCCTGCTGGCACCTAAATACTGTTCTAAAATTTGTTTTTAGAGGTCAACCTTTCAAGATAATGAGAAATTATTATTGTTTTATGATCTTATCACTTACGATAGCTTTGCAAAAAACACCACGTGTTAACATCTGTTGTCTTTAGTAGTGTTCTTATTCATTCCCTTATCCTATTTTGGAGCCAAAGGTAAGACATAAAGGTTGGGATGAATCTTGCTGAAGGAGAGTTAACCAGCTAGGTCACCCACCTAACCATCTAAACAATGAATCGAAGGCATTTTATGAGTTCTTGCAAGGACCTTATATTTCTAGAAATGAAATACTCTCCATTTCATTTTGTTGGGCTTTATGTAGAAGTTGGTGATTCTTGTTGATTTTCAGTTTTTGAGCTGGAGAAATTATTTTATGCAGACATTATTATGGTCACTTCTGGAAAATTAATGGAAGATTTTGTAATTACAGAAGTATTTTAGTGGAAGACATTATGGAATAGGAATCTAGAATTTAGAACCCAGGTTCTTCTGCACAGACTTTAGATTTCGGTCCTGCCCAGGTTCTGTATTGCCCCTTCTGATGGGAGAAGTGAATGTGCCCTTTTAGGAGTAGACACTGTGGCTTTGAGCCTTGTTTTTATTTTGCTCAGTTTTAGCAAACAGTTTTTCCGAAATGGAGATTATAATTGCAGTCATTCCTCAGTATCTTCAGAGGGGATTGGTTCCTGGGCTCCCCTCAAATACCAAAATCCTAGGATGCTCAAGTTCCTTGTTAGAATGATGTGGTGCAGTGGGCCTTCTATATCTCTGGGTTCCATATCTGTGGGTTACACATCCCCAGATACCTGGACGATGGTACTTACTGGCATGGGTTTGTTAAAGGCTAGTGTTCAACTGGGTAGAATAATTAATACCACGATTCACATTCCTTCACAGTGCTAGATTCACAGCCAGATTCACGAAGAATCTGGCTCCTTTGAGGATATTTCCAACTTTGTCACCTTAAATACTCTGCTCTTTTCCCTGCTTTCTCTTTTGAATTCTAGAGGCAAAGAAGAAGATTGAACAACAGGGAGGCTTCACCTTTGAAAACAAAGGCGTCCTCTCTGCATTTAATTTTGGGACTATGCCTACCAACAACTGAAAGAAGGAACATCAGCTGACCAAACGTCATGGTTACGTTGAGCGTCAGCTGGAAGAAGAGGGTCAGCAGAGCTGGGGAGGGGCTGCTCTTCGCGCCACTGGCTGTGCCAGTTACCGTTTGGCATCCGGCAGCACCTTTCTCTGCCCCTGCGTCCCCTTTGATCTTTCTCATCCTGAAATATGTATTTTAAGCAGCTACTGTAATGTATGAAATTAAAGAAAAACAAAACCATAGGACTGAAAAGGACAAAGCATATGCTCCAAAGGATGAATGACCAAGGTGGATTTAGAGGACTGGATGGAAATGCACGTCTCAGGTTTTGCCATGCAGAATCAATGGATTTATGCGAATAACAGTGCCTTCTGTTGTACATGAATTATCTGAAAAAAATTTTTTTGGAGTGTGTTGCAATTTTTTTTAAAGCATAAAACATATTTCTAGATAAATGTAAACCTTGGCTATATGTTGATTTATTCTGTATTTTACTATGTGAATTTCCTGTTAGACAGTTAGCTACAAGTCACTCTGGTTTCAAAATCATCACTGCTCCCCTTGATCCCCCTGCTGCTGGGGTCTTTCTTCAGGGGTTGTACAATATGCACTGGCTCTGGTTTTTCATAATGTGTTTTTTCCTAAAGATGTGGCTTTCCTAAGAAGTGTCTTATTCTCTCTTCTGTCGTATTTTTCAGCCCTGAAAGGGGTAGTATTTCTTTTGAATCAATCTATATGAGTATCGATTTTATTCATAACCTGGTAAGTTCAGGACTCAAAAATTTCTTGGCAGCAAGTGGCAGGGACTCCTTAGTCACTGGAATTAACAATAAGTCCGAGTATTTTTTGAATCATGTACTTAATTATGCAGTTAATTGATAATTATGCTAAAGCACATTGGACTTCTAAGAGAAAGGTGCTGCATAAGAATGCTGTCTTTCTGGATGGGGGCTTGCATTGTCAATAACTTATCATTCCAGCTGTGTTGGACCTGGGTCCAAAACATTTTGTAACAGTATTTTTAATCTAGGAAAAAGACCCAAGTAAATCTAACATCTTGCTTTCTCACACATCTGACTTTTCCCCTATCTAATCTGAACTGAATCTGTTTATTTTAGCTCAGTTTGGCTTCTTATATTTTTCAGGGATTGGGATATTGGTCAGCTGCACTCTTACATTGTAATGATGCAAGATAGCCCATGAGAAATATTACAGATAGAGGTTACAGCTGCTTTCTGAACTGATTCAGTGCCAGAACATGGGTCATAGTGTTTTCATTCTGTAAAGTGAAAGTGGATTTTCAGAACTTAATATATTTCTGGATATGATACAGTTGTCCTTTTTTATGAAATGTTTGCAGCTTATATTTTCCATCAGTGACTGGAGGAATTTCCTCCAGGTGCTTTCTAGATTACCATCCCTTGTTAATATGAACTCTTTAGAATTTTAGGTTATTTAAGTAGATTTTACAGAAGTAGCCCAAGAAGCCATGAGTTTCAGTTGAATAATCCCTTGCTTTCCTCTGCCCCCCTCTTCCCAAGGCACTGACACTGAGTGTGCCAACTGGGCGTTAGAAAGATGGCATTGGGGGACATTGTTAACATCTAAGCTTTGAAACTCTTCTTATTCTCCTTATGTCTCAAATGGTTTAATTTTAACATAATATGCCTTCACACTGGATTGTAAAAGGCATGTGATTTTATTTTTGTGATGTATTGTCTCCTGCAGTATTAAAGGGAAAGAAGTGTTAATGTGTATCATCCTATCTTGTTTTTGAAGCCAGGGTAGTTGTACAGTTTTGTTACCAGCAGTGCTAACCTGAATGTGATCTGATAACCTTGGAAATGCAGGAACTCATATGAATGTAAAATAAAATGCGGGCTGATTCCCAGGATCCTGAACTCCTCTGTGTGAAATATTTTCTGAAACACCCATCAGGATGTTCTCCTGACTCCTGGGGACCTGAAGTAAGGTGGGTGTAGGTTGGGGAGGGTAACAGGGCTCATCAGAAACAGCTAAAGAGTGGGGAGTATTTGGGGACAAGAGCCCATCTTATAAACCAAGGTGTCCAAATGAGAACTGCAGATGCTCTGAAAAAGCAAGATCATTCAACCACATCAGGACCCTGAAGAAAAGGAAAAGATGCCTGTGGTGGAGCCATTTTCTGATGTGTATGTGCATGCTCAGTCATGTCAGACTCTTTGCAACCCCATGGACTGTCACCCAGGTTCCTCTGTCCATGGGATTTTTCAGGGGAGAATACTGGAGTGAGTTGCCATTTCCTCCTCTAGGGGATCTTTCTGACCCAGGGATCAAACCCAGGTCTCTTGTGTCTCCTGCATTGGCAGGCGGATACTTTACCACTGTGCCACCTGGGAAGCCCTAGTTTTTTGATGGGCGGCGATCAAATTAGGAGCAGTTGAAACTGAGTGGAATGGTAAGTGCTGGCCTTTTGATTCTCAAATATTTACCTAGCATGACAGTAAGCTTCTCCTCCCTACCTCTGATTTATGTTAAGACTGCACTGAACCAGTAAATTGTTAATCAGTGAAAATTACAAAGAAAGAAAACAAATTAGGTTATTTGTTTAATATAGTGAATTACAGTCCAGCTTTCTGTTCAGCAATGAAGATTGAAAATTGCAATACATTTATGGAGGAAATAAAAGGAAACTTCTCCAGAGGCCGCCAGTTTGTGTGTGTGTGTGCGTGCACACATTTCATCTGTTTAAAAAAAAAATCAGTTCAGATAAGCCTTAAATGAAAATCCATTTTGCTCCTGTTTCACTCTGTCCACTGAGATCAGTGTACAAGTGGGTTGGAAACATCTCAGGCAGTCCATTAGTGACTAAGACCACGAAGTGAATGAAGGGTTGGGATGTATTTTTAAGAAGAAACACAAACACCAGTGCAACCATGGCTGATTCTGTAGCCAGGAGAGAGGTTGTGTATGCAACAGTGGGTTGAGTGGCAGGAGAGTCTGGGGCAGACAGCAGTGCTGGCAGAAAGAAGAGGGCTGTGTTGTGAGAAGGTCTGCAAGACTTCCATCAAGGGTGGAGGTGAGTGAATGCACATGCTCCCTGCAGAGCACCTGAGAGGAAGTTCACCTTGGAGATTGTCCAGTTTGAAAAAAAGCTTCAACCAGTATGTGGATGCCTCTCAAAAGCTAAGAGTCAGAGGCTTCACAAAGGGTCTGGAATATACCCGGAGCTAAGAGCAACTCAGGCAGGAGTGACCTTAGAGAGTGTGCGGGATTAGTTGCTCAGTTGTGTCCAACTCTTTGTGATCCCATGGACTGTAGCCCACTAGGCTCTCTGTCCATGGAATTTTGCGGGCGAGAATATTGGAGTGGGTTGCCACTTCCTACTCCAGGGATCTTCCTGACCTGGGGTTCTAACCTATGTCTCTTGAGTCTCCTGCATTGGCAGGAGGGTTCTTTACCAGTTGAGCCACTGGAGAAGTCCATCATTGGTACCAAGTCCCCCCAAAGAAGACTAATAGCTAGATTGGAGAATTCAGGGGGACTTGAAACATCCCACCTAAAATTGAATTATTTCCTTGCTTGGCTGCAGTGCAACAAATATTTATTTGTCATACCTCTCAGTTTGTTGGATCTTAGTTCCTTGACCAGAGATTGAACCCAGGCCATATCAGTGAAAGCACCATGTCCTAACCACTGGACCACCAGTGAATTCTCAAACAAATACTTAAAGAAGATTAATAATTTGATATCCCCTTTAACCTAATACTGTTTAAGTGTTCACTCAATATTTATATGGTGAAGTTGGGGAGAAGTTTTTTATTAATAAATATTGTATACAAATATTTTCAAAATAAAAGATTTCTATACATTTATTACACACAGTTTTCCAAGCCAGATAACCCAATATTGGTCATTCCCAATAACCAAAACTACAAACTCAATTTCTCAATTTTTAGCTTCCTGCAGCTGCTGATATAAGACAACCCTCAGCTAGGTGGTGCCAAGATTAGAGAAATTTTCTACATAAAACAGTGTTCGACATCAGTAGGTACCAGCAGGAAGTGTTTATCTTTTCTACTTTGGTGGGAACAAGAAAACTGGTTTTCATTTCACTAGTTGATAAATGAGGAGCTGTATTTGGAAACCGTCATCAGCTGGCACCCTGTTTCCTGGGCGTCCCAGTGAGGTCAGCCCTCCTGACAGCTGGAGTTTCAGGCCACACCCTCTGGCCAGCTGCTTCGTGGGGCTGTGGTTGGGCACTTTCATCAGAGATTCTCTGAGTCAGTGACAAGTTAAATAAGCAGATTGTTTACTCTCATCTGACAGGCCTTCATCCTTCCCTTCCAATCAAGTTTTGATGAATATGGTACAGCCCAGACTTTGGATCTAGAGAGCTGTGTGACTCCAGATGGAGTCTGCTTGCTGTGGCAGCCAGCTTCCACGACGGCCCACAATGAGCTTTGCTATCTCCTGGGCTGCTCCCCCTCAGATTGTTCCACAGTTAAGCTGTGAGAGCTATAGCATGTAGAAGTTATGGCGTGTCACTTCCAGGACTAGGTTATAAAAATCTGTGACTTACATCTTGGGTGTGTTTTCTCTCTCCCTCTTTCCGTGTGCTCTGGTGGGAGCCATGTCACGAATGGCCCTATGGTGAGGACCATATGGTGAGGAGCTGAATGAAGCCTGCCAGAAGACACAGGCATGAATTAGGAAGCAGATCCTTCACGCTTGTCAAGTCTTCAGCGATCACAGGCCTGGCTGACAGCTTGACTGTAATAACCTCATAAGAGACCCTAAATCATAAGCATCCAACCAAGCCACTCCTAGATTCCTGATTCTCAGACACTGAGACAATAAGACTTGATTTTAGCTGTTAAGTTTGGTGACATTTTGTTATGTTGCTGCAAATAACTAATACACTGTTTACAGAAACTCTCCTATACTTTCTACTTTGAATAAATAATACACCCTGGATTGCCAGGAAATAGAATGCTGACATCTGATATGAGGCAGCACTAGGTGTTTTCCCAGATTTCTCCCCACCCCAAGATTCTACAATAGTTTGAAGACTGATTATAATAACTGAATTTTCCTAAAATAATCTAGATTTTCTACTTTCAAACTGAACTGTATCTAAAAACAGATATGACAAAACCTGCAGGTTAGATTCAGTTTACATCTTATTTATGGATGTTAGGCATTTGTTCTCAAGTACTATCATTTATTTTAATTTTTAGTCAGCTTTATTGGTTAACATGTGAAACCTAGAAATAAAAAGGCATGGTGCAGTTTATAGGTTATGTTTTTATTGTCATGAAGTATCATTTGAAACTATGACTGAATTAATTTTTTTTTTTTGTATTCAGACATTATCTTGAGTCACACTGACCCCGAGGGTTCAGCTATACGCACTCATGCAGTCCAGGTGGTTTGTCAGTAGATCACGTTAACGTGCATGGTGATCTTGCATCGTTGTGGAGCTACTCTCTTTCAAAAGATTCACAAGTTTGGACGCACGTCTCTGTCCTTGGGCTCTATTTTACTGTGTCCTGTTTATATTCAACTTGGAAATCTGATTTTCAGAGACATCTGTGTTTAGAATTGACTGTGGGGCTTAAACACTAGAACAGAATTGCTCTTGTAATATAATAACACAGGCATTTGCCTCCCTAGGTCTTTTGTTGAGCTGTCACTTGCTGATGGTTATTTGGTGACATTGTTATTTTATTCTGCCTTGTGGAGAACCACTAAATTAGGGTAATGGATTATGCTGTCAATCAAGTTTGACAGACCCTCTATGAGAATTTGTAATGGAATGAAAGCAACATGGTCCAGTTGTTCTAACTGTGATTAGCAATGTACCTTAATAACTGAAGTAGCCTTTCAGTTATTGAATGCTATAAAGTGCATTTCATAATGATGGATCTAGCTTCCCACTTCATGCTTCTGTAAGATTGTACGTGTGGTACTCAAGGCAGTTTTTAACCTGTGACACTTTTAAAACAAAGCTGTTTTAGAAGCATTTGATTGTATGTACATAAATATATATATAGAGTGTGTGTGTGTGTGTATGTGTATGTATGCAAATGTTACTGGAGCAACATTTATGGCTTAACAATGTATTGAGGAAGAAAAGATTTTCCTCTGCTCTCTTAGGTTCAGTAACTGTGGTCTTGAGAATTAACCTAAGAAAAGAAAACAGAAAAAGTACAGTGTTTTATTCATATTCATGTGTATAAGATTTCACAGAAGCAAAACTCAAAGTAGTTAGAAATTTAGAATAACTTCTAAAAGTCAACAAATAAGAATATGGGAGTTAGCTGGACCATATGGCCAGCTTCTGCTTTGCCCTTGCACACTGGACAAGCAAGTGACAGGCCATCAAACCATCCACCTTCAGCCTGGGGCCACCTTCATTCTCTATCACTAATACCAGGCAGAGAAAGGGTGCCTTTTCTTGTTCCCAGAATTCTAAAAGCTATTTTTGCCCACACAAATTTCTTTCTTTTTCTCTTCTTTTTTTGGTCATGCCAGGTGGTTTGCAGAATCTCAGTTCCCCGACCAGGGATTGAACCCAGGTCACGGCAGTGAGTCTGGAGTCCCAACCACTAGGCCACCAGGGAAACCCTACCCACACCCCTTTACCACCCCCCCCCCCACAAATTTCTTGATACTCTGTAAAACACTCTAGAATTCTTGATGCTTGGGTACCAATTTTCTTGCCTTTAGAAAAAAACACTTATGGGCCAACATTCTGTTTAATGGTCATTGACTCTACTTTTGGCACACTTTAAAAAAAATTTTTTTTTTCCATTTATTTTTATTAGTTGGAGGCTAAAAGTCTATATGCCAAGTTCATTAAATACCTACCAGGGTTTTAGAGATGGAATGATTTTTCAGTCTGGTTCACACTGAATTT